TCCATGCTTTGTCATATTCATAATTTCATATATCACCCCCAAGAGATCTTCAAATACTCTTATAAACCTCCCGATATCCTGGATACTGCCGGCACCAACTACCACCTTTCTTTTACCTTGAGATGTGTTTTTGTTTCTGAAAAAATACTCAGACAAAGTAAGCTGTAATATCCTACTGTTCAACCAGCCTAGTTTATCTCAAATTTTTCAGACATATTCAGTGAAATTTTAGAATAACCATCCCATTCTTACTGGTTTTTAAGAGCAGAATAGCTTCCAGATATAATGCAGGAAACCTCACACCAGTAATCCACTAATAACCCAGAGAGCTAGTACAAGTAACTAAACAGAGTCAGTGTCATTTCAGTCAACAGTAAATGAAGGGAACAAATTAGAAAAACTTAATTTCTAAAGCTGGAAAATTCTCTGATCTAGAACAGCTCTGTTAATCCTTGTAGTGCACAATGACATCTGAACGAGACTATAAACACACTAATTCACTGGACTCCCAAAGCAGTATGTCCTTGGGATCCACATCAGTTATACACAAGCACAAGGTATTTCCCCTTACCTTTCTTCTGTATCAAAAAATTCAGCATTGTCTTATTACTTCTTACTGCTTTGCTGAGGCTTACTTACCGCTTCAGAGTTATCAATGAAAGGGTCAGTTTCATCGTAACCATAACCTATATCAATCAGGTCCTGCAGACGATCTTTCCGATGTTTGTGGGGCTTTCCACCCTGAAAACAGAGCAAGCATCACATCACTTAGGAAATGTGAAAGCAACGGACTAAAGCCTACAAAACACAAGGCACTGGAGGAATATTCATTCAATGAATTAGCAGTTGTGCTCTTCGGGATGCTTCCTTGAAGACGGTCTAGACAACTAATGAAAACTTGCACCTAGGAATGAGTTCTGGCAAACATGTCTCACCAGAATCATCCCTGAAAGGTATTCACTAACCACCTGCATGACCAAGATTTTCCTAACATCTATTCTAGAGATGTTTCACTGCCCTATGGTTTTAAAACACAATAGTACTGTTAGTGGAAGAAGGGCTGGGAAAATTTAGAAAGCGTCATTACAAGGCACAATATTGATA